AAAGGCCCTGCCATTAGCGAGGTGTTAAGAAGGAGTGACAATTCAAGATAGAACCACGCCATTTATAACTTATGGCGACTTGATTTATTTGGGTCCATCACTATCTAGCTATAGGTGGACGTCAAATGGCACTTCGCCGTACACTGTGCCTAAATGTGGTGCTACTACTAAACAGCCGGTGCTTTGTGCATAGTTGCAACAGACGCCCGTCGTTGTCTGTACGGTCGGAGTTAAGTGAACACTAATCACCTAGCTGAGGTCAGCGTATACGCAGAACCATAAATATTACACGAAGTAATACAGCAATCAAGGGAGCAGCGATCAAAAGCATTTTGGTCAAATTAAAGTTTACATTTGATGAGAAAAATAGCCATTATTGATTAATTGGAGGGTCAAGTTTGGACTACACGTTGTGTGATTGGATTGCGACGCGCAATCTCAATGTAATGGAGGACTGTGGTTCACAATGAAGTGAACCTTAGTCACTGCGATCGCTGGGACCGTATACAAAGTAGACGGAAATTGGGTGTTGCCCGCCCGGAAACACTGCACAACCACGACACGTTTCGATGTAATTTCACCTCATCGGATGGAGACAGTAGGCCTCGATCCCGCGACCATTGGAATAGTAGCCCACACTACTACCCCTTTGTCTACCGGGTCACGATGGGCAACGCTTTTTGTCACAACGGTAAATGACTAATTGGAGGCTCAAGTTTGGACTACACGTTGTGTAATTGGATTGCGACGCGCAATCTTAATGTAATGGAGGACTGTGGTTCACATTGAAGTGAACCCTAGTCATTGCGATCGCTGGGACCGTACTCAAAGCAGATAGAAATTGGTGTTGCCCACCCAGTGTTTTCGGATGGGCAACACCCAATTTCTATCAGCCATTATTGATGTTATGGTTTGTACGAGAGAGGGCTTACGAGACAGAATCGATCCATCAGGCCCCAATTCTAAGGGACAAAGTGTGACACAAATTTCCCGGAAGAGATTTTGATGCAAACAGGAGAACCATATAGACTTCACCAGTACGGTGACTTCAGGGTACCTAGTCTCCTGGTTCGACTGAACTGTGTTGGGCGACTTTCATCATGCAAACTGAGACCGAAATTCGGCCATAGTGCATGTTCCAAGGTGAGTTGGAACCGATGTTGTGGAGAACAAAAGTAATGAACAGTATTATTTTACGCTCGTCAATGATTTAATAAACGTGGGGAACTTCATCCGCCCGTAGATAACATCAGTCATGGAATCAATGTGTACGCAAATGCGACGATGTGTCTGTGGACTCAGTGAGCGTTTTCCAGCCTCTCTACTCCCCATCGGAAGATCGACAGTGCGACGACTAAGTGTGTAGTTCTTATGTGCTGCAGCGAATAGGCAATCTCACAACCAGTGTCCATTCAGAAACAATGCATCCGAGAATGTTGGCAGCGCTGATCCGCTTAGTTTATTATCAGTGAACATCGCAACAGTGCCTAGTACAATACTATGCGAAGCAATCCTTCTTCAACAGTCCAGCCGGTTTATGAATGAGCGAAACAACGGTCGTGTCCGCAAAGTTGATGTCGCCACCAAGTATGCACAATTCATTATCCATAGACTTGTCAAGAACTCAGGACAATCATCGTTACTGTCAGCGAACCCCCAGCATCTCCCGGGGTTGTCTTGCAACGGCGAAACGGGAAAAGTTGTGTAAAACTCTCTAGGACACCACCAGTGCCTGAACGGAATGGCGCATCCTTGTGTGGGGACTTGCATCGATCGGAAGGAGAATGTAGGGATGTGCCACTATCGCGCACTGAAATGAAATTATCAGTATTTACTGACACCGAAAGTTTGACAAATACAGTCGAACCTGTCTAAGGCGACAACTGAAGGGACCGACAAAAAGTGGTCACCTTGGACAGGTGGTCGCCATAGACAGGTTCATGCATAGGGATATTCCTCATAGGAGAAAACGTTGGGGACGCATTTGGCTGGTTGCCATAGACAGGTGGTCGCCATAGCAAGCTGGACTGCAGATGAAACGAAAGCGATTCTTCCTCATACGCTAGATCTTCTGTCAATAATGATGTTGTCTTAAGCAGATTAATACCAACGGCCTCATCTACTTCGGGAACCGAATCCTCCGATCACTCTTGCAGGAGCTTGTTGGAGCAATCGGTTTACCGTCTCATCGTGAAGCGTCGCCCAAACAACCTAGAGGAAGAGGAGTAGTTCATGAAATACAATCACATCACCACTACTGCATCATTTAACTACCAACTTGGACGGTTAAGAGAAAATCAGTGATGAATGCACATCGCAATGAAGATTGCGCTCAAGAACGCGTGCACGACGCGACCACAGTTCGCAGAGCCTCATACAGAGAAGCATTCGAATGGTTTGTATTGGGACATCAACTACCGTCCTATCATACGTAGGCACAACCATCACGCCATCTCATCGTCGGCGACCAGAAGTAAGCCCACATGAGAATTGCGCAAAGCAAAAAACCCAAGGGGAAGTATGCCCACACGAAAAATTACCAAATTAAAGTTCCCACATCTCGGTATTTTGGCAAATTCGTCACAGTTGACGATATTCTTCATTTGTGGCACTAGCAAAATGCCAGTTTGATCTTTATTTCCAACAACTGGGAAAACATACCTTGCAGCTATGAATTGTTAAAACGATACCCAAGATGATCACTAGTTCTATCGCTCGGTACAGACTGGACTACCCCACATGCCAAAAGCAGCGTAATTCATTTAGAATAGTCAAAAAGGAGTCATCAGCAGTACGCCGGTATACTGTACCGGCGCTTCGTTGCCACGCGACCATTAGCGGTCGCGCGTGGGATGAGTATACCGCGAGGACGCCCGCTCCTACACGGATTCGAACCGGCGAACCTAGGGATTACAAACCAAGCGCGCGATCCTTTCAGCCACCGGCCGACTTTAGAACACTCAGCAGATGGAGCAATACGCGCCTATTCCAGTTTGCTGAAGCCTCAGTGAATCGACGAATGAAACCCACTTTGTGTAAACAGACCGAATTCGTGGTTTGCCTTGCCTTGTCTTGATGAGGCTGGTGACCGCGTCTCATGGATCAGCACGCTGGCCGACCAACTAAGATGCATTCTGATTGTCTCTGTGTGTAACCGGATTATTCCACGAATGTAAACTCAACTACTACACACATCGCTATTTGTTGTCGTACCGTGAACTACCACTTCATGATTCCGTGGTGGATAATCCAGCCAAATTCGATGTGTTAGGTGCTAAAGAAATGTCACCTGAATTGAGCAAAAAGCACAATCTACCGAGACGATGTAGTTGATCGAGTGAGCAATTTCCTGTGTGGGCATCATGTTTGCGGGATTTTGCTGTGCGCAATTTTCGTGTGGGCTTCCATGATGGAGTCCTCGCCACCGGACTCCGAATATGGGAGTTTTGTGGAGCTTGTGTGTGTGTGCCTAGCTAATAGTTTTAGTAAAGCAAGTCGATCTGGATCGCAGTGCGTAGCGACATTCACGTTCCGCATAACATCGTGTTGTGCCTAACGATCGAACGCTGTCGTTTACCTAACGCGTAGTAAACGACTCCAAATTGATCAAGCACGAAGGTTGGATCCAAGACCTACGGTGCTATCTGCTGCTATCTGCAAACAAAACACAGCTGTTCGCGTTCTGATATTGACAACAAATAGCGCAAGGGCAGCGCCCAAGCGGGTCAATTACGAGGAATCGTATCGCCTCGAGCCGACGAGAATGTAAGTGACAAAATTACGGCAAGTCCTCCTGCCGTTGGTCGATTACCAGACACACGTTCCCGATTGGAGATAGCATACACCAATGCAAAGTGCAAAAATCGATCTCAACGTTAAACAGGAAAGCGGTATCACAAGGATTCGGGACATCATGGTCAAGATCACCCAGTGAACACTGAATTCGGAACGGGACAGTATAGACGTACATATACACATGCACACAGTGAAGGATAGAGAACGGCATCGGTGCCAAAGGCTCGGTGGCTGCAAAGTAAGAAGGGTTCTTGTGGGTCAGGGAATTTCACACATATGGTAAACACATACAGACAGGAAAACAAATATCGACGATTTGGGTAACCGCAGAGGCACTGGCGATTGTGGATTAGAAGAACTTCAAATGTAGCTCCATATTCCGCTACAGTGCACTTGAACCAAAAGGCGCGCATGGGTGTCCTGCACTAGCGTTACCACGCTGCGCACAGGGGCACACAATAAGATGGATGGATGGATTGGCCATCTCAAGAGCTGCATGCGCATACGCGCGTTAAGTTGGGCTAGATGCAATTTCAATGCGTACGGACTATGTTGATTGGTACCACGGATGAACAGCTTGTGTTGCAGAGGAATTCGTTGACTGAAACCATAAGTGGCATTGTGCAATGCATCCCGAATGTGAGCGCAGCAAGCCTCAACGTCTGGAGCCAGGGTGTTTAGTAGTGTGATGTGAACATCTGGTGCAGAATATTTAACTCAGTCAAGCAGTGTCCGCGACACCAACAAGCAAAAGGACCGCAACACGCACAAGCGTGAGACATGAGTCAAGACAAGTAGACCAGATTGATTTACAGACCCTTATGCAGACTCGACAATTGAATTAGATCGATCTGCGTCCACGTGTGAACAAGCGATAGAAGTCATCAAGTGGTAGTTTGGCGTCAGATATCTAATGAAAGGGAACCGTTAACTTTTGACGTCACGTTGATGGTGAGCAAGGATACATCAAGTCAACGAATAAAAATAATGTGGTGTTTCGACTGCGACATGCGTGTGAAGGATCATGTGAAGCAGATGAGGTACATATCCGTTTCCGACGGATACGTCACTAAGGATGAGCAAGTGTAAGCTGTTAGCTAAAGTGCACCAGTGAGGACGGTGTCATGGCTCAAACTGGGCCTTCACCACATTTCCAAATATGTTGAAACAGGGGAGTAATACGAGTCTGGTGGGAGATAACTCACCTTTGCCTCGAAAGGTTGTGGAGGTGAAATCAATCCGTTGCGATACGTATCCAAACACTGCTCTAAAGCTTGGATGTAAGTTCTTTCAGTTTGGATAAGCTCTTGCAAGAGGTTTTCGCGTCGACGAATCATGCGTCGCTGTTCCTGCGTTAGACCAGTGACAGCAGCGTTCGCGGTCGCGGTTGTACCAGTAGGTGGGACGAGAAACATGTCATTGCCTCCAGCTGTGGTGCTGCTATATGCCCCCGAACTGCTGGTACTTGAGATGGATGTACTGCGGAGACCGAAAGAGTATAAGCAAAAGGGGATGAGAAGGCATGTAGATGGCGGATCGCTCGCCAAATGTGTGGACGTCGGTCCACACACGATGGGCGACGAAAAAAGAAACAGTCAAGGATGAGCAGCTCAAAAATCTAAGGTAGCACCGGTCAGATGTCTGCTACTAAGGGAAACAGCAGAGCATCCGAACACAGGAAAAAGAAGCAAAATGCGACGTAGTGTCCATTAACCGGATGATTGAGACCTTAGATACAACCTACCGATCAGTCTCTGCTTCTGGCCGCTTTGTGCGTGGTGTAGACGGGTCTGCGTGAGTAGAAGCAGGAAAAGATGAGGATATATTGTAGTCAGCTTTTGCGGGGCGATGTGCTTCGTTGGAGCAAGCAGCTTTACACGTTGTGTTGCATGGATCCACTGGAGATGGTGGAGGCAGCGTCTCCTGAAGACGTTTGAGCAACGCTTTAAGTTGAATCGTGTGTCCTGGTGACAAAGGCATAGAGGCTGAAATCATTGAATCCAAACTATCGCAAGCTCGATTAACTTCCTGAATGAGAGATGAGCCCAGCTGAGTGTTTACTGTCAGAGTAGCCGGGACCTTGAGTTGTGAGTGTTTGTCTTGTGACTGGCTGTAAACACGAGTGAGCAGCTCCTCGACTTGGCGCTATAAAAGAACAAGATTCAGTAGTGATCAAAGTGTGATATAATGTAAAATCAGTGGTAGGTCGACCTCGGAAATGGTAGGGCGCATGTGGACGAACCTTAATATTGATAAAGTATGTGCAATCGTCCAACCGACGTCTCCGTACAGCCCAAGCTTCAAGAACCGCTTGTTCTTTGGTCATCAATTCGTTTATAGCGGTGCGAATCTTCTCTTCCACTTCTAATCTCCCTTTGGTTCCCGTAGACTGACGATGCAGGTAGCGACTGAACACATCGGAAGTTCGTCTGAAAGAGGATCAATAAAAACAAACTAGAAACAATGAGGATTTAGGGAATTCTCGATCTAGTTGAAATTCGCATTCCAACACGAAGGTGAAATTAATCACAACTAAGTTTATCCAACTAGCTGTGGAGATTAGGGGGCCGGGACTAAGTACGTGTGATATATGTTTTAATCGTCAGACCAGGGTAGTTGTATATTCAGATAGGCATAATCCACTCTAAGCAGGTAAGAAGAAAGCTTAGCGGGCGGCCCAGGATTATTTCGATAATCAGTGAAGAGGCAGTAACTAGACTACAAGAAGATAGGTGGCAAGAGGGTAATGCGATATGACTAAAGTTTCCATGAAGTAGACGCAAAATATATATATTCACAGTTGGTAAAATCCCCTCCCTAATTCTCCCAATGTACATCATGAAAAAAAGCATTTTTCGCACTTGTCTAGCAAAAAGTGCAGAGTAAGTGTTGAATTCAACAAAGCCAAAAGATAGACGATGAGTTGAAGCAAAAGAGCCAAACAGTGTTTTGCTAGGGAAATGTATGTATGACAATAAAGCGGTGTGCCAGAAGGGCGAGCGATCGGAAAGAGAGCAAAGCTGCAGCAAGCGATCACATCAGCTCAGCAACCGGTTATGCCAAAGGAAATATAAAAACAGACAATACAGTGAGCAGCATGCGAAGCGTTTGGAAAATTGCCACCAACCTTGCAAGCATACAAGCCTTTAGAAAAGCTTCTTTTTGCTCAGCATGCTTCAGTGAAAGCTGTGCAAGGTAGGCAGAAGTGTCCGTGCCGGCCTTCTCACTCTGGCACCAGTCCTCCTCGCGCCGATATTCCTTTTCCAGCGAGAAGAGGACATTCGTCACTTGGTTAGACGTTTTGTACCTAAGAGGAAATATGCGAGATATAAATAACATCGCAAACGAATGGAGAGAAATAGTGGGGGGAGACGTATCGAAAGCGAATCCTTAACAAAGTGCCAACAAAAATGTGAAAATCGTATGAGATGCGATCAAGCTCTCGGCGTTTAGCGTAAAAGATGAAGCGGTTTTATGAGAACATTCGTTAAACGATGCACGTACAGAGGGTGTGGATAAAATGAAAATGGTAGGGTTAAAAGAAAGAAGTTCGTATCAAACAGTAAGAGAATGACAGTTCTGTTAAACAGAGATAAGCACAGTTTAAAGAGTAGAAGAGCAAATGGAAGTTAAAATTAATTCAAAATATGACAGGGAAGATTTACCGTGTACAAAACCCCAAGGCTGTCCTAATCTGGTAACTGACAACCAGACTTTCTAGCAATGCTGCCACAAAGCAGAAATGAAGAGCAAAGTCAATGTGTTGCTAAAACGTGTCAATGTGCTGAAGGATACGACCGCAGAAATCGTCCGGGCTGTTAAGCGGATAGTGCACATTCTAGACATTGAGCGTTGGGTAGTGAATGTCGGGACAACTTACCAGAGGCAACGATCGAGACAAAATAGGTGTGCCAATTCGAAGGATTCCTAGACATCCACTGCGAATTACATATGTAGGGAACATAATGCACATAAACAGAAAAGTCCAGTTGTAACATGCCGCAAATGCGCGGAAACTGATGACACTATTCCGCGCGCTTGTCCGATCAAAGTACAATGTGTTATTATCTTTATATCATCATACACCTTAGCTTGAGGTGGAAAACACCACACTACATAAGAAAAAAACATAAAACAGATGCACGCCAGCTGAGGTGCCAGCAACGGATGGACATCGTTCCGGAAAGCTACCAGCCGGCTACTATGCAGTATAAAAAATTATTATGCAAAATGTGCATTATGCTAAAAAAGAGATCGTGTTTGGAGGGGGATGGGGAGGGACAAAGAAATTCACAACGGGAACGCCACTAAGGTCGGCTCCTTGCCATGTCAGCAAGTGTATCCAGCCAAATCTGTTCGTCTTTCGGACCCCAACCAGGGAGCCGAGAGGCTCCAACCGATGCCAACGTCGAAGTAAAGGTCTTCACTGCTCTCAATCAAGTCATCGCTTGGCCACTGTTACCCTTCTTCCATCCAGACCCGCGCAGCACAAACAACGCACGATGCGAGAATCGGTGCGCTGGCATGCGTGACACGTGGCCGAAAGCAGAATCATACATTCATACATTCCTGCTTATTAATTGATTAATTATTCTCCCAGATTTTGGCCCGCAATTGAGGGTTTTTCTGGATGACTTTGAACAAGACCCAGGTGTTCTTGTGAGCGATGGACTTCTTCAACAAACGGGTTCGTGTCCACTACTAAGGGTCGCAGTCGATTTGAAGACCTCTGGTCATTCGAACACAATGAAACTCAGTACTCATTGAAACTTGCTACCGTGCCTTCATCAAACTTATCGATGCCTGGGAAATCCAATCATAGTTCGTATGTTTCAAGTTGGGAGCACAACAAGCGTCAAAAGCATTTCTCATGGCAAAGCTGAGACGATTCCAGTTTGGGTTCGGCTTAACAATCTCATTCAACGCTAATAACCAGTGGGTCAGTTCTTTACGATACTGTTGAACTGTGGACTGTGAGTCTAATTTATGAGTAAAGATCTTAAGCGCTTGGATAGATGGGTGTTGCACTTCCCAACACTGGCACACCACAACCGCGGTTTCGTCCTGGTTTGGACTCGTCAGGTGGAGGTAGCCTGAGCTGGGGTAGACCTCAGAGCCCAGTAGTTCACGGCTGATGCCCTGAACACTATGCTACTGAGATTCGCGAGCGACGCTTAGCGCAGCGGAACGCTCGCGAATCTCAGTAGCATAGTATTCAGAGCGTCAGCCGTGAACTACTGTGCTCTCAGGTCTACCCCAGCTCAGGCTATCTCCACCTGACGAGTCCAAACCAGGACGAAACCGCGGTTGTGGTGTGCCAGTGTTGGGAACTGCAATACCCATCTATCCATTCCAGATACGGTCCTCGAGATCGGAGTGACCGAGATTTACCTCAAAGTGAACCAAGGTCTCTATAGAGGTTACGAGTCGCAACACAACTACACAGCGTGTTCCCTAAATTCTGCTTTGAGCTTAGGCGCTTCTTTGAAACGGGAAGTGTGAGCGCAAGGCGCAAGTGCGCACTACAGCATGGTAGGAATCCAGGCAGCTAGTATAAAATGGACGACAATCATGGACCGATAAGCGCCGTCTGTTGCACTTGGCAATACAGTAAACTTGGGTCAAGGTCATCGAGGAATTCGGTGGGTGTCAGAGAACAAGGTGTCAACGTTTGTGCTGAAAAGCAGTGCAGCTAAGGTAAAGAATGTGGTGGGCAAACACTTTCAGGAATCGGTCGCACACACGTTGTTCTTCAAGGTCTCGCATTGCTACTTTGCCACCAATTCGACGAGCAGCTTGTGCAACCGTTCACTTCAATGGCTGTACATCGCCAAAGAATGGTCAGAGCAAAATTAGGCAAACAACACTTTGAAATTTACGTGTGCTCAGTAGCCACAGCGCGCTAGCTCGATCGGTTGGCTCGCTATTTCAAAAACGCCCTTACTGTTTGTACAGACTAGTATTGCTAGCGACAATCACAATATTCAAATTCTTCGTCATACGAAAAAGAAACGAGAGTTGCTGATATAATTTGTCTTGCACGCTATCAGAACTGAAGCCGATTGGGGCATAGACCGAAATGAAGATGCTTCATACTCCTAATATGGCTTTGAAGTCGAATTGAACAGACTCGGCTGTTCACCGACATCCAGTCGAGTAGTGCCTACAGCATGTTTGCTGAGGGCGATACCAACACCATAAATATCTTAAACCGTTGATTCAACATCACCAGAGACGCAAAGTGTAGTCATTCAGAGCAGATTCGGAACCAAAGAGTCGAAAATTCCTCACGACGTTGTCATCTTGTATGCGCGTTTCAGAAACACACCACAGATTAACTCTGAGAGGTAAAGAGTAAGAGCAAGAGCCGCCGCTCGCCAATTTGACCCAGAGTTCGGACGTTAAATGAACCAATGCAAAATGAAACTTCTGGTTTGGGGACGAGTTACATGAATCGAGGGCAGCAGCTTCGAGGTCAACGACAGTAAATTGTTCAGTAGAAGGGAAGTAGGAAGTTGCGAGGTGTGGCATTATTACGATTACTACTACTGTGTATTGGACAAATTCAGTTATTGTGGCAGTTGTCCTAGCATTGGCTGTTTGACAGATGAGATCTCCTTGAGCATGTCTGAGACTAGAGTAACTTGCTAACCTCCGTCACCTGTGGCTCCGTCTTGATCACAGCTTCGCTCTGAAAGGCCGAGTCTACAATACAGCAGTATGAGCGGTTCTGCTGTATGGCTGCGAGACTTGGCCTGTTCGCAAGAGTGATGTTTACAGGCAATCTGTTGCCTACGGAGCATTTCTGCTGTTCGATGGCAGCATCATACAAGCACTGAGGAGCTTCCTCAGCATGTCTTCAAATCTGACAAACTCCACCGACCGACTGACAGCACTGCAGATTTCTCTGGCTTAGGCACGTGCCTCGCATTATTACCCAGCGGCTACTACGACGTGCCGTCTTTGTGAGAGCAATCGTGGGCTGGAAGCGACGACAAAGAGAGTAGTGTAAAACTTGGATCCAATGCGTTAAGGCGCAAATGTCGAAGCTGATTGTTGCTAAACGTTCCCGTTGGAGGCCAAAAGGATAGCGAGCACATTTAGTTTTAAATGCTATTGGATATGGCCAAGGACAGTACGCAATGGCGCAGTTACTGTGAGACACTTAGTTCATAACTGTCGTTTTCCTCTTCAAGCGACTGTTCTTTCTCTTATGTGTTCTGGCACTCAGCCAACTGTATTGTAACTGGTAAAGTGTTGAATATTTGTGTGTTGGTATCCGGTTCCGGATTTTCCTGTCAGTGCGATCGCCATAGGACAATCACAAGAGATTTGTGCCTGCAGACGGACTATGGATGGCTTGCGCTGCACCACCCACAGCTCCATCTACACACACCGTATTCAGTGTAAACTCGAAAAAATAAGAGCGAAAGGCAGGTGGATGGGAGTCAAGTTACATCAACGACACTGGCCCGCACTCCTTCAACATGCACAGCTACAGCATCCCTGTTCATCTAAGTTGGGGATCATGTGTACGAGGCGTACACAAGGAGGTGGCTGGGCCGAATTCCGCTCCACACTGGATGGAACCACTCTTGTAGCTTAGCACAACCATGAGGACCGTGCACCCGTCCCCCCAGCAACGATCCAGTCTTCTGGAGTTAGTAATCGAGGTGGACGGTGTTAAACATGTAAGCACCGTGTCAACATTTACATCAAGCGTAGCCACACCGGGGATAGCAAATAAACAACAGAGAATTTGCCGAAAAATAACGACGCAAAATTGACATGGAATATGCAGCAGAATAACAGAACTGAGAAAATCAAATGAAATGGAAGTTGAATTTAGGGAGCACGCTGTGTAGTTGGGTTGCGACTCGTAACCTCTATTGAGACCTCGGCTCACTTTGAGGTAAACCTCGGTCATTCCGATCTCGAGAACCGTATCCTCAATAAATATATTTGGGTGCCGCTCTTCTCAAGCCTGGTGTGCCAGGGTTGGGAAGAGCAACATCCAAATATATCCAAATAAAATGGAATGTTTTTAATCTAGGTTAAGAAGACCCAGTTTAAGTGTAAGTCGGTGTAGGCTAACTAGGGTAAAGGAGGATGACGTATGCAACATCAAAAAGGGATTTGAGAACAACCGACCGAGGCCAAATGTTTCATCAGTTTTCTCATGCCGCTTCTCCAAAAATCGTCCAACATGCCGCATCCTCCAGGCCCGTCCAGCAACCGGGAACAACGCACGACAAAGAAGGTGCGGAACAGTCATGCGCAATACGTGTGCAAGACACTGAAGTTGAC